GCAGGTCGCTGCTGAAGGCCGGTCCCATGACCGGTATGAAGTCCCAGCTATGGCACCCAGGTAAGTCTCTCTCTCCCTCGTGGATATGACCTTCGCCAAACCTCTCCACTCCAGCCTACTCTAATCCTCCAGCGCTGCTCTATAGCATCTCTCCCCAAACTGGCGCTGCTCCAGCATCGTGACGCCCAAAAGAGGCTCCAGCCCGAATGTCCTCAAAGTGGAGGACTGGTCCAGCTATATACTGCTGGCCTGACTGAGCAGTCCTCAGTCTGTGATCAGGACCATCGGATCTGATGTCCAATCAATGGTCCTGATCACAGGCCCCAGTCCTGGTCCAAACAGACAAATCCCTGGTCCAGTCCCACACACAGACAAATATGAACCTGGATAGACAACGGCCGAACTGAATCACGCAGCAAAAATAATAAATGCTGGGCGCCTGGCCTGGAATACGGCCGTGGGCCCCCAGGTCGCTCACCAAAAATGGCTGCGCGGCCTGGAAGGCCTGGAACAACCATCGGGCCCCAAAACAGGGCCCGTGTAGTGGCCTCAGCATGCTACACGTGTCTCCTGCAGCCCACCCTCCGCCTTTACCACAATCCGGCATGCCCACCAACTCCATCCCGTTTCACAAGCGACCTGGTCCTCTAGCCAGTCGCATGGATGCATAGGGCCTTGTCAAGGTACCTGCTGAATGCGAAAATGGCAAATGCAGGTTCCAGCAGAATGTGGCCAGGTACATTCGCCTGTGGAAAGACGGTGGAAGGAAGCCAATAGTATTGTACTTCACACAATGTCTCATAGAGTAACAGACATTCCCACAGTAATATCTGCTTGAAACATGCATGAGCGTTCGGTCAAAGTTGGGCGATGAGCAGCCAAGAATCAAAGATATTAGACCATCACTACCTCCGATCGTGTTTTTACCGACCCTGAATTTCACTGCACACCGAGTTATTGATGACAGCACACCACTGATACATGCCCAGTTGGGCAATGTATGCACAGCCAAGGATCCACAATTGTGATAAAAAGGACTGAATGGACAATGCAGTGGTAGTGGAATCTCAACAAGCGGTGTTCATCCTGATACATACAAAATGACACTTTGTAGCGCAGTGGAAGACTCAGATATAAGTCCTGACTTGACATGGACTGACACGGCATCCCATTATACATCAGCCATGTGAGAGGAGGAGGAGATACCAAAGTGTTGCATACCGTAATGGTGCAAACCAGAACAAGGACCGACCTCCCTCACATAGTACAAGACAGCGCAGGGGAATGATAGGATACCAATGATCAACCCAGTCAATGTCGCAATGCAGACCCAACATACATCATCATCGTTGCAAGGTGTGAAGAGCCTGGCGCTACACACAGGAAGAATGCGCCAGGTCCGGACCATACACAGACGAAGAGGACGGGATCAGACGAAGAAGAGGGGGAAGATGGGAATGTCGTCAACACCAAGTCTTCGATACAGGTCCCACATAATCCCTCGTTCAATGTCTCAATCCCAATGTCGAGTCTGAATCCAAATGTCGTCGAGTCCCAAAGTCACCAATCTCTCTCCCTCTCGGAGTCTGCAGATACTGAGAAGTCAGGTAGCGAGAGGGTGAGGGAGAGAGGCTGGACTTAGAAGAGGAAGAAGAAGAACTCTCTCTCTCTCTCTCCCAGTCCGGTACTAACCTGTGAAGGTGGCGCCTTGTTGCAGGTACATCGAAGATGAAGCTGGAGCTATGGCGCCACAGGTAAGTCTCCCTGGCCTCCGCCAACCATCTCTCTCTCTCCAACGCTACTCTAGCTCCTACTTGCGCCCAGCGCTGAAGACTACTCCTAACGCTACTACTACTGCAGCGCTCCTCCAGAGTGCTGCTGCCGAATCCTGAAGACTGCCTCCTGCCTCCTGCACATGAAGTGCCTGGGAAGTCCCTATGAACTACCTGCAGCCTGCAGGGCGGGCCAGTCTTATATAGTGTTGGCCCGCCCAGGAGGGTGCTCTTGCCAATGCCAAAACGTGCCAGACCCTGGTGTTGAAGTTCAACAAAGGTTGTCTTGAAAACAGGCCCAAAATCGCCTGTGCTAAAACCCTGGTCTGGTGCCTAAGTTTCAGGGCAGGTCGATCTTATGAGGGCCTGAAAATGGCCCTCCGTTTCAGGCTAAAAAGACTTAGGGCCTGGAGGGCCCTTTTTTAGGCTGAAACGACACAGGGCCTGTAGGCCCTTATTTTCAGGCTTTCAGGCTGAAACGACACAGGGCCTGTAGGCCCTAGTTTTCAGGCTTTCAGGCTGAAACGACACAGTGCCTGAAAATCACCCGTGTTTGCAGGTGCAGCATGTAACACCACCTTCAAGCTAGTTCCGTTTTCTAGCTATTATTCTGGGTAAATGCGTTCCTCCAAGCATTGATGTCAGCACACCACCTTCACGGCCTTCCCTGACATCCTTCCTTTTCCCACTGTGGCTTTTTGTTTTTTTTGTTTTTTGGCACAAGGCTCAAACACTTTCTTTTGCCTGGGCCTCCTCGGGACCCCCGATAAATGCGGTGTGACGTATATTACTATATTCCCGTTTTTCCCAACACTGAGAAAGGTAGTGGTGGTTTTAAAAAAAAAAAGAACAAGAAAAAGTGCTGAAATAACAAAAAGGACAACAAACAGTGCATTTCCTACTCCTCTCACAAATATGCACAGGCCCATGAGGTGCTCGGCAGGACTGTCATCGTCCTTCACATATAGTTTCCGTCCTCGGCATCGACTTTGGGCCTCACTCCACTGCACAAGATTCTGAATGTGTCAAGTGCTGGTAATGGTCCCAATACGTTCAAAATTGAGAGAGAGAGAGAGAGAGAGAGAGAGAGAGAGAGAGAGAGTGAGAGAGAGAGAGAGAGAGAGAGTCCAAACGTATGTGGACCACAACTCTGCAGGTACATGCAAAATGTTGTGTGGCAGAGCGAGGCCTTTTCACTAAGCAGGTACAAGCACATGGCTTGGTGAAGCACCAAAAAAATAATAAAAAAGTTGTGACGGGGTCCACAGAACTCACATCTTCGTCATGAAACAGATACATGATCTGCCTTTTCCCTTTCACATCAGCTTAGAGGCAAATTCCTAAATTAGGTAATCATCCACCCACAGAGACCATCAAATTGTTGTAGGTTGGTTACTGTCAAGTGAGTACGCACAATTTTCTTCAGCTCGACAAGCTTTGTTCCTCGCATGACAGCTGTAGCTGTTAGCAACACTCTCGACTGTGAGTCTTTCAGTCTTCCAGCCAACGACTCTGACGAGAACCCGGCAAAGACTACAGAGTGAACCACACCTGCAGAGAAGCACCCACAAGGTCAAAAAGGAGAAAGACACACACACACACACACACACACACACACACACACACACACACACACACACACACACACACACACACACACACACTACGGGGGGGGAGAGAGAGAGAGACAGAGACACACACACACACACACACACACACAGAGGGAGAGAGATTACAACTGGAGCCATGCCCATAAGCCGACGTTTATGAACAACAACAAAATGAAGATCTTGCATCATACAAACCGACACTGTGCTCATGTAAGCAACTGCCAATTTCGCAATCCGGTGAAAGAACAGCATCAAAGAAACGAACATGTCCAATGGCACTAGTTATCATGACCCCTGACGATGCCGGACAGACGACCGGCAGAAACACGGTGTTGGGTCTTTTCGCCTGACAACGTTGTGCTTCATGTTGTATTTTTCGAAATTACCTGCGCTCGGTTCTTGTTCTTTCTTTCTTCCATCTTTCTCCTGAGTGGTGTGCTCATGCATATTGCTTTACATTGTGTTCCATCTGAATGCTAGACTGATGTTTGCTGCAATTGTAACAAACAGAAAGGAATTAGGCAAATTCGTTGAGGGAATTACGAAATGCGAACGGAGTCACTCTACACAGCTTTTTTGGGAATCACAAAAATAAGTGGAAATAACTCCAAATCCCTGCATTCAGTGCATTTTTCAATTATTTCTCCGATTGACAAGTCCTTGTCTTAGAAACAGAAGAATGGAGCCACCGACGCCAGTAGGAGACCCACCCCACCACTGCTCAGAGGAGTCTCCATCGCCGCTGTGCGTGCTGGATCGCCCCACACATCGTCTTGTGACAGAACCAATACAGGAAAGAGATCCCAGATAGGGGGCCACAAAAAGCGGGCACCCAGCTTTCAAGTCCATCGTAATCAGCAAGAGCATAAGCAGTCAAATGGCCGGGTGACTCGATGATGACCGCTGACTGTGCTTCATGGTGTATTCTTGTTTTTCCGCTTTAAGCGCTTGGGCTTCAAGATACTTCGTCGTGCTGGCTCTCTCCACTGGTTTTCACTCCTCTTCTTCTTTCCTGTGATGACCCAACCAAACATGGACTGAAAAACAAGGCTGATTTCTGAGTTTTGCTCATGGACTGAATGCCTTGCTGAGTTTCCCGCTTGCTACTAAGTCTGTGTGTGTGCATGCTTGCTGGACTGCATGTTTGTCTGAGTGCTGGTTGGCTTGAGTGTGTGCGTGGCCCCTAAGGGCGCTTGTTCGTTCGTTGGGCCCTCAGGGCCGGTACTTACCGTGGCCGTGGCATTGAGGATTGCAGCCGGGGAAAAACACTCAAGTGGCGGGGAAAGAGGCCCGCAGCACTTGAAGCAGCGGGGAAACACTCAAGTAGCAGGTAGGCCGGTACCACACCCTGAAGCGGTAGATGTGCCGGGTACTGGAGGCCGAGCAGAAAAAGACAAAAGTGGCATTTTTAGAGGCCCAGTAGTTGTAGGCTAGGTCTAGGCGGGTAACAGTCTGAGTCTAGGGCCTGTACGGGCAATATCAGAGTCTGCAATGATGTTTCCCTCCGAAAGGGACGAGGTACCGGTTGCTTGGGAGGCCGAGCGGCCTGGAAGTCACCGCCCGAGAGGCAAGCAGGCCGCTATATCTCCAGGCCGGGCGAAGAGCCCAGCCTCATTGTCGGTGTGCAAGTTTGGCGACACACTGGTTGGAACGCTGGCTGGAGCAGCGCTGCTGGGGAAGAAGCAAGGACTGGGAGGAGGAAGAAGGACAGGAAGGGGGAGGAGCGCCAGAGGTACTTACCTGGCTATGGTGGCAGCCATCTTCATCACCTTGGTGGGCGCTGCAGCAGGGAGACCCCAGCTGGGGAGAGCTACACCAAGAAGCTTCGAGGCAGAGTCAGGCATGGCGGCCTGAGCTAGAGCAGCCGTAGCTGCTTTGCGTTGTCCTTTGCATAGCGGGGCAAGGCCCAAGTAGTCCGCCATAGCCTCGGCCTATGAGAGTGAAGAGTGACGGAGGCGGACATGGCTATGGTGGACCTCAAGCGATACCTGCAGTAGAAGAGGGATTCGGACATTGATTCTGGTTCAGCCATTCAACATTGTATTATTATTTATTGTGTGAATAAGAGAAGGGGAGATAAGGAGGAAGATAAGAGTTGGGCGAAGAAGAAGAGCTTTGACATTTGTCTATGCTGGTGTACACCATCTTCTTCTTCTTTCTTACTTCTTCTTCTTCTTCTAATCTTCTCTCTCCTCTCAAGTTCATTCATTTCTTTCTGCAATTGGACGGCATTGTACTATCTGATGAATGTGTATCTCGAAGTTGGCCAGGATCATAACAGTCCCCTAGTTCTCTTCCACTTTTCCTCCACCCTCGTCGTCTCCTGCTGCCTCTGCTTTTCATTCTTCTTCTTCTTCTTCTTCTTCTTCTTCTTCTTCTCCTTCTCCCTCTTGTACCTTTCCTCCCTACCTTCTTACTTTTCCTCCTTTCTTCCCTCCTTTCACATTATCCCTCTCCCCTTA